CGGGTGGCTCCACCCACCTGCTCAGACATCATCACGGACACTCTGCGCATGCGCAGATGTGGCGCATGCAAGCGAAGCAAGCACACGCACAGGTGTGCTCACATTTGCGAACCGGTAGCAAAGGTAAGTGAAACCCACTACTGCCTGAACTACACTAATACGACTATTATGATTGCTGAAAATGTAAGTGAACTGCAGGTTCTAGTATTGCAAATCAAGGAGCATATGAACAATTGAAATTAATTACAGGTGGCAGTTTTGGCCAGGAGGGCCTCTGCACAGGGTTATCTTGCCTACCATTTGTGCCCTTTCCTTCATGAGAAGGTCCTCGTTATTACTCATGCCTTGGTCACCTTCCCGTTGAATTATTGCAATGTGCTGTGCATGGGGCTGCTCTTGAAGATCACTTGGAGACTATGGTGATTCAAAATGTCATAGTGTGAGCAGTAATAAGTGTCTCTCAATGTACCCATATATCACCACTGCTATGCAAGCAGTTGGCATGGGAGTGCAAAATAAGATGCTGGTTATTACCAATAAAGACTTGTGTAGCATAGGGCTTGGATATCTGAGACACCAATTGTTTCTGCCCACCCACAACATCCCACGAGAGTGGCTGTACTCTAAGTCAGGGGTCCCCAATCCCCGGCCCATGGACTGGCTGTGGCATGCCAGAAACCAGTCCACGCAAACAAGTGAAGCCCCATCCATGGGATGCAGGCAGCACACAAAACCACATTCAGTCCATGGAAAAACCTCTCTCCACGGAACCAGTCCCTGGTGCCCAAAAGGTTGGGGGCTTCTGCTCTAAGACCCTTCATTAAATCCCATTATCTTATGGGACCTAAGAAGCATATTGTGGCCCTCACTTTCTGGAACATCCACAGAGATGGATGATGGCCTTTCTAGGGAACTAAGGTTTGAGGGACAAGGGGATTGCCTTTGTAATACTTGAAACAATGGTTTTGGTAATAGTGCCGTACTGGCTAATTAACATGGGTTTTCTTGTATTTTAAATTTGCTTTTTTAATTGTATTGCAAGGGACATGGTGGCTCAGTGGCTAAGACGCTGAGCTTGTCGATCGAAAGGTCGTCAGTTCAGCGGTTCGAATCCCTAGTACTGCATAATGGGGTAAGCTCCTGTTACTTGGCCCAGCTTCTGCCAACCTAGCAGTTTGAAAGCACATAAAAAATGCAAGTAGAAAAATAGGAACCACCTTTGGTGGGAAGGTAACAGCATTCTGTGCGCCTTTGGGGTTTAGTCATAATGGCCACATGACCATGGAGATGTCTTCGGATAGCACTGGCTCTTTGGTTTTGAAATGGAGATGAGCACCACCCCCGAGAGTTGGAAATGACTAGCAAATATGTGCGAGGGGAACCTTTACCTTTTACCTTAATTGTATTGCTAATAATTTCCCATAAGCCTTAACCTTCGAGAAAAAGCCTCTCTTTCAGAAACCAGGATTGGCAGGAGAGCATTCAACACATTGTACATATCATTTTTAGCTGTTCTCAAGCCTCCATGAACAAACAAAATAGTTAAACTCAACCTTGGGAAGCGCTGCAAACGTATCTTACCCAAATCCACCACTCGCACAGCCCAGTAGTACGCCTCAGCCTGGGGTTAGGGTTATATATCCCTATTATAGAACAAATCAATCCAGAGATCTCAGTAGAGACACAGATTATCATATTATGCAAAGACTTAGCTTTTTAAGAAATTGATGAAGTATACAGCAAAACAAAATGGAAGTAAAGAGAAATAAAGGACGACTAGCAGAGAGTTGGATGGATTCCATTAAAGCAGTGATAGGTCCATCATTGGAAGATCTGAAAAGTTAGGTTGGTAATGGGTCTACCATTAAATGTCAACACTGACTTGATGACCAGACTAGAGCTTGGATAGCTCTGCAGACAAAGGCACTGTAATTTAACACCAGCTGTCTGCAATTAAAATAAGTTCGAATCTTGCCAGGCTCAAGGTTGACTCAGCCTTCCATCCTTTCTAAGGTAGGTAAATTGAGGACCCAGTTTGTGGGGGCAATAAGCTGACTTTGTATAAAATATACAAAAGTATGAAGGCTATTGCTTAACGCACTGTAAACCGCCCTGAGTCTCTAGAGAAGGGCGGCATATAAATCAAAATAAAATAAATAAATAAATAAAAATGACATCTCATCAATCTATCATCAATTATCAGTACGTCCACATAGTATCACACTATTTCTTATTTGTCTTTCAATAAACTTTTTCCCATTTGTGGCACGCTGGCTTAAAGGTCTTAGAGAAGAGGAACAAATGAAACCTGTCTGACATATGACTGTACCAACTTTTATTTAAAGCACCAAATTAGTCATCTAGGCTGTGAAACATAGCAGCAGTCATGGGTTTGTTGATGTTCCCCCAAACACATTTTTGACTCTATGCAGAGGCAGCTATGAGATCTGAAAGTTTGGTCAGAATGATGAAACATGCAAACCTTGCCCTTCATCTTTATTCATCTTTATTTTACCCACTATAGGGCATAGCATGCCAAAACAACCACACACAAAGACAGTTTCCCCCCACATGCTATCATTCTGCAGAACAACTAATTCCCACAACACTGTTTTATGTCCTGGGATGTCAAACCACTTAGTACTGCTGTATTACTATTACTGTTTTCCTTCTCATCTTTCCTATTACCTATTTCCTTAGTTTCTTATGACTACAACTTTGTTGTTTGTATCTCATGATTTATATCGATTGCTTTTATTTAGTGTCCTGTTATGATTGATGTTGATTGCTTATTTAATATCCTATGATTGTGATGACGAACCTATGGCACGCGTGCCACAGGTGGCACACAGAGCCATATCTGTGGGCACGCGAATGTTGCCCTAGCTTAGCTCCAGCACGCATGCATGCACCCTCCAGCTGATTTTTGGGCCTTTCAGGCCCACCGGAAGTCAGGAAACAGGCCATTTCCGGCCTCTGGAGGGCCTCTGGGGGTGTGGGGAAGGCTGTTTTTATCCTCCCCAGGCTCCAAGAACGCCTCTGGAGCCTGGGGAGGGCAAAAAGCAGGCCTACAAGGCCCACCGTGCTATCACATGCCAAAAGTGGGGGGAGCGCAGGGGGTCATGTATGCATACACAGGGGGGCAGGGCGCATTGAATTATGGGTGTAGGCACTTTGGCACCCGACGGCAAAAAGGTTAGCCATCACTGTCCTATGACAATCACTGCGTGTTGTATCTTATGATTTATGATTATTGTATTTTATGATTATGATCACGGTTTATCATTTGTTGCTTGTATGTACACTGAGAGTTTATGCACCTGAGACAAATTTCTTGTGTGTTCAATCACACTTGGCCAATAAAGAATTCTATTCTATTGTTTTATTGGTATGCAATATCAGGACACATTCAAAAACAGCAGGTTTTTTTTGCCCATTCACAGATGCCCAAGATCGCAATGCTTACAGTGGTATGTACTGTATGTGTGTTATGTGTGCCTCAAATGAATGAGCTTGACAAAAGCCGAAAGTCTTTCTTATCATGCAACCATTACATAATGCATGCATAGCAATAAACCCATTGTGATGTTTCATGTATTGTCCAAAAGGGCAAAGTTGCAGAGAAATGATATATTGCTTTATTTGTGTAAGCAGGAAGAGCCGTCCGTTTGTGGAACTTGGAGTTCTGTCAGGGAACTTTGTACCCTCAAACAAGTCTTGTCTGGAAGAGTAAAGATGTTGACTAATGTGTCTTTAGATGCTTCATTGAAATACAGTGGGGAAAATATCTGCTAGAAGACTTTTGGATGGAATTTTAAGGACTTTTGGATGGAAATATTTGCTATTTGGATGGTGCTTTTAAATGAAAAGGCTTTGAAGCTTCTATTAGAAGTGGCTTACCAAGGGACTGTACACAAACGACTGTCCCAGTGAGTGATGATAGCTGTACATACACAGTTTCATGAAGAAAGCCAAATGGGATGCACCACATAACATAATATCCCGGATCTACGCACTTTCCGCCGTGCCCTCAAAACATTCCTGTTTCAGCAGGCCGGCCTGGCCTAACTTTCCCTTTATATTGCTTTTGATTTTATTTTAAACTGGGATGTCTTGAATTATCTAGGACCAGAGTGTTTAGTATATTTTAATTGGTTTTTTTTTTTTTAACGTTTGTATTACATGTATTTTTATCGTTCGCTGTTCACCGCCCTGAGTCCCTCAGGAATAGGACGGTATATAAATTTAATAAATAAATAAATAAATAAATAACAACTGGGAAAAAAAAGATGTGGCTTCTTTGTTAATTCAAATGCAAAGCATCACTTTGGCAGGACTGGTTCAGGTTTCATTTAGACATCCATACTCTACATACAACTTTTCTATCTGAAAGTGGGATTTCGACACTCACCCAATCAAGATCAAATATTGGTTGAATGTTATGCCAACTCTCAGACTTTTGTAACGAATCTCACTCCAAAAAGATGCTGTCATATAAAGGGAAGTATTTATATATATATTTATTTATCAAATTTATATTCTCCACCCCCCCACCAATCTCACATCAAACTTCCAACTTCCAACTTTTTAATGGGATGATTTTAATGTACATTCTACTGCTAATTTATTTTGGGGGTTTCATATTATTTGGGAATTAATGAGATACCAAAAGTTTACCTAAGATGGTTGACATCAAAACAAACAAAAGAATTAATGAACACTCATCAGCTGATGGATTTGTAATGGGAAAGGTGTTACTTACATGTACTTTACCTACATTCAAATTAATAATTTTGAGCCTCTGGACAGCAGACAGAATTATGAGCTAGAGAAGCTCAGTTTATGACTTAATTTCAGGCTAGCTCCTAAAAGACTTGTGCTGCTGGTTTCATTTTATGCTCCTTGTGTGTTGTCTGCAACATGTTTCAATTCTTATCATCATATCAATTTCTAATTACAGTTATAAGATAAGTTTATTCCCTCTTGTTTTTACATACCAGATGGTAATCAAAACTACGATTGTCTGTGGGGTTTTTTAAAATCCCTAAATGGACTGGAGAATGGCCCCACCTCCTTTGCCTCAGTCAAGATCTTACAGCACACCTTTACTATAAAAAGGCACTGGACTACTTGAAATCTCCCAGCTAAGAATTTGGATCTTTGACATCTGGATTAATTCGCTTTCCAGGTAAATTTTAATGCTAGATTTATTTATTTTTTCTGCAAGTAAAAGGAGAAATGAATGTGCTGAGACATATGGGATGGACATTTTAAACTTCAGGTTTATTTTTAATACATATCTTGGATACAGGGCACAACAGGTGGTTGTTAGGTCAATCAAGATGTACAACCAACCAGTAGTATATTAATCACAGTTAGACGCGTAACTTTTAAGGGAGACTTCTGAATCTGAAAAGAAAAAAACAACAACCCCTTAACTTTGAAAAGATGTATGGAGGATGAATTTTTGTTGAGCAGTGAGTCAATCTCCGGGGGAAAAAAACTTTCAAAAGGCAGGACAAAGCAAACTTTTTTATTTTAATGAAATGTATTATGAATGACAAAAGCTTATGCAATAATAAATATGTGAGATAGAGCTGTTATTTGGCTTTAGTATGTATGAATGCATGACAATTGTAAAAGGGAAATAAAAGTAAATGAAAAAAGCAATCAGAATTCAGGACTGATGACTGGAGTTGAGGGCGCAATCTCTGGATAATTTCCCTTGTGAAATTCCTTCCTCACAGTTTCTCGTAAGCAGCTCCCATTCATTTTACAGGAGGCTCGCTCAAACTTTCCAGTGTGTAAATTCCATTCGTACATTTTTGTTTTGTATCCATGCCACTAATGCAACAAAAGTTGAAAAGTGAGGGCTTGTCAATTGACTTGTTATATTTTCATGGCAATTTTAACCTCACCCCTCCCAGGAAGTTTTTAACAAAGTTTGTGACTTCTTTACTTACCTTCAGGTTCTCTAGTATGTCTCTGTGGAAAATCACTAATATGGATCGTACATTAAAACTGCATTTGGCAATTTTAAATATGAAAATGAAATAGAAATCTCTACCCTTAGTCTGATTAACGATTTGTGCCTTACTTAGAATATAAAACAGCATGTGAAAGCTTTGAATGATGATCACGAGGGACTGTCCCTATTACACTTGTAATGTATGCATGTTTTGAATATGACATATTTCTTTTCCCTGGCATAAGCTTTTGAGGACATCTAGTGGGTATCATATTTAAATTATTCTTACATTTTAGGATTTAAAATTAAAAATGAAGTGGAAAGCTGGATGGAAAGCACTTGTTTTTCGCTAAATAACAATTACCTTATTAGTTTGAATTAACAACATTATAATGTTTTATAAGACATTTAAGAGTATTTGGATATGATTAATTAATAGCTTCGCCAAACATGAAGATCAGCCAGTTCACACCTATATAGGTAGTCCTCGACTTACGGCCACAATTGAGCCCAAAGTTTCTGTTGTTAAGTGAGACATTTGTTAAGTGAGTTTTGCCCCATTTTACGACTTTTCTTGCCACGGGTGTTAAGTGAATCACTGCAGTTGATAAATTTGTAATCCAATTTGTTCAGTGAACTTGGCTTCCCCATTGATTTTGCTTGTCAGAAGATTGCAGAAGGGGATTACGCAACCTTGGGACATAACAAGGATCGTTGTGAGCCGCCCTGAGTCCTTGGAGATAGGGCGGCATACTAATTTTATAAAATAAATAAATAAATAAATATGAACCAGCGGCCAAGCAACTGATATTTTGATCACATGATCATGGGGATGCTTCAAAGGTCGTATGACTGTGAAAAACGGTCATAAGTCACATTCTTCGGTGCTGTTGTAACTTTGAACGGTCACTAAATGAACTGTTGTAACTTGAGGGCAAACCTGTATCTGAAATATAGTCTGGTCACTGAAGAGTCAGTCCTATGGATTGATAAAAGGCCCTGAATTTTTCGTGCTGTAGCAAAATCATTCTTGTTTTATGTTTGTTTGTTTGTTTTATTAGATTTATATACCTACTCCCGAAGGACTCAGGGCGTTGAACAGGCACAAAACAAAATACATAGATACAAAAGTTAAAAGACATAATTAAAACCAGATTAAATAATTTAGCCCGAGACAATTAAAAATCCCAATAATTTGGAGAAGATCATAAAAACTGAGACTCAGAGAGTTTGAGGCTGACATGAACATGGTCCAAAGTTGTCTACTGGAGTCATGATGAAGTAGGATGGAAACTGCATCAGTATTCCAAGACTATTCTAAGACAGCATTCAAATATAGGTAGTCCTTAATTTATGACTAGTCGCTTAGTGACGGTTAGAAGTTATGGCTTACCTGGGAAAAAATTATGATTGTTTTGCTATTTTACAGTCCATTTGCTTAATGACTGCCCCCAAACAGGTAGTAAAATCAGGTTGGTCATGTGACTGATCCAATTTTACAGTCAACATACAACCGTAATGAGCAAGCTCCACCACAGTCGTATGTCAAGGACTATGTGTACTTCTACCAAAAGTACAAAGAGGATGGAAGACCTTATGTACAACTTTGAAAGGTGGGCTGAGGGTGTCAAACTCGCTGTGCCACGTTGCCATCACATGATGTATCACAATGTTTTTTCCCCTTTGCGGAGCTGGAGTGGGCGTGGCCTGCACGGGCCGCGTCCAGCCTGCAGGCCGCCAGTTTGACATCCCTAGTCTAGAGCAATGACAGCCTAGTTGAAGAGACTCTTTGGCATCCTTCTACTTTACTTGTTCAATATTTAATTGGATTGTGTTTGCTTTTCTAATCTTAATTTAATTTTTAAGGTGCATGGTATTTGTATTGGACTGCATTCATGCGGAATGACATGATGCACAGTGTAGCTTATACATCAAAAGGGATTTAAAATCGGGAATGTAATATATTGGCAACCTTATTTAATGAAAATGCAAAATGATGCTGCAAATCAGGAGTGACTATCTTCTGGCTTCAATAGCTGTTGACATTTTCTGTTACTGGCCCCGAAATTACCAATCAAAATCTGATTCAAAATAGTGGTTTTGACAAGCAGGCATATACGAAGAACAGAGGGCTCTGGCCATATGCACAGTCCAGATATTTATGATCAATTTGAGAAACAGGCACAGGTTCATTTTTTTAAAAAAACACTCATGTTTATTGCCACGAGTTTTTAACATATGTAATTGGAAATTGGAAAGGTTTGCATATCTGTGGCAAAATCATGCTGCTTATATTAAGCACATTTTGATCTCATTTATGCCCATTCTTTCTGTCAATGCTTTCACAAATTAAAAATAAAAGAATAAGATCATTAGTAGTTGACAAAGGTGGTCTCCTTCCTCTCCAGCCCCAATCAGAATCATAGAATCTGTGGTGAAATCTGGAGGAAGATGTTAAGAGGAACCCGAGTTTAGAGTCTTTGCACTAAATGGCGCGGGCTAGGTCTCCCCCCCCAATCTTTCAAGCCTTATTTTATTATTTCCAAGAGAATGCAGTCATCTGAGGAGATTCTCCTAACATAGTTGACCAGCAATAAAACTACTGTTGAAAAGTGGTTCCAGTTGATTTTGCTCAACACAATCTCTCTCATTGTCACTGCTATTTCTTCATTGTTGCCGTAGCTAGAACAGGTCTTGGAGGGTGAACAAGCAAGGATTTAATCCATATTATAGAAGATGCACCAAGCTAATTTATTTGTGCTGGAAAACTGAAAGGAGATGGGCCTGGTTAGCATTTGGATGGATAGTCATTGAAGGAATACCAGAACTATATAGGCTAGTCTAGGACACTGAAAACAGGGGTCTATGACAGGGGTGAAATGCTCCCAGTTCGGACCGGATCGCCTGATCCGGTAGCGATGGCGGTGGGTGGTTTGGAGAACTGGTAGCAAAAATCCCTGCCCCCCGCCATGCCCAGCTGAGCCGCATGATCATCAGAGGCTGGTTTTTTACTTTTAAAAGCATTTTTTCTACAACCTCTTCAGCCGAAAAAATGCAATTAAAAGTAAAAAAAAAAGCATCTGATGATCGCGCGGCTCAGCTGGGATCATCAGAGGCTTTTAAAACCTCTTCAGCCGAAGAGGTTGTAGAAAAAAAAATGCCTTTAAAAGCCTCTGGTGATCCCAGCTGAGTTGCCTGATTATCAGAGGCTTCTAAAAGCATTTTTTTCTGTAGAAAAAATGCTTTTAAAAGTAAAAAAAAAAAAAAAGTTGGCCATGCCCACCCAGTCACATTACCCCCCCCCACCAAGCCACGCCCACAGAACTGGTAGTAACAAATTTTAGATTTCACCCCTGGTCTATGATAATTGGCCATGGCCACATGGACATGCCCAATTCATCCTGGTCTCCCCACCTCAGCTGACGCACTGCAGACATTTATCCTCAGTTGGCCCTCCTCCAGCGCTCCTCCACCACCATTGGTCTCCTGTTGCTTCTTCTCTATCTCTTTTTGCTGAGGGATTTGCTGAGGGATACTTGTTCCTGGCCAATTTGCTGTGCAGGACAATTGGCCAAGCGTCCCAGCAGTCAGTCTGCACACTGAAGGGTAGGCCTCTACTTTCTCATTTGCTGGAGGCAAGTTGGCCAGATCGGACAGTGTAAGGCCACCCATCCAGTCCCTGACTAAACCAGGTTACTAGAGGAGGCAATGCATGCCTGACATGACACACCCTGGACAGAGCATCTGCTGTGAATTGCAAGCCCAGTGCATCTTGAAGGGAACTGAGAGAATTTTGAGGGGGAAATCAGAAGATCCTACAATGTGGATCTGGAAGAGACCTCAGAGGTCATCTAATCCAACCCCTGCCTGATGCAGAAGCCAATTGCTTTGATTTTTGGTTTGTGTCCTGGAACAGACAGAAGAAGCCAGACATTTTGTGAGAATATGTACTATACATCTGTTACTTTTAAGATGCCATTCTTTGGATACTGTATTTTAATCCTGACCCAGCATTCTGGACCACCTAGAATTGCTCTTTGCTTCCCGCAAATCAATTGGTTTATCTTTGCATTGCCTATTATTATTCATATTGCCTAATAGATCCCTTGACATGTGCTGGAAGCTTCCAAAGACCCTCCCCCGTTTTAAAAATCTCAGAATACCTTTCCCAATAAGGTGGGTTTTTCAGTTATGTGGGATTTCAGTTCCCATCATCACTGGCCACTGCTGGGTAGGAACCTTGAGATCTGAAGTTGACATGATCTGTTGGTCACTAGACTCAGAGCAGAGATTCAGAAGGAAAATATTTCATGAAAGAGAAGGAAAAATTGTCCTAAAAATGTCAGGATCCACCATTTGGGAGTATAAAATGGATGAGTTTTCGTGAATTCCTGAAACAGCCAAACTGGCTCAGGAATTCTGGGAGTTGAAGTCCACAGGTCATAAAGGGGCAATATTTGCCCACCCCTGTCCTAAGTCATTTTTTTCAGTGCCATTGTAACTTTGAACGGTCACTAAATGAACCGTTGTAAGTCGAGGACTACCTGAGTAGGTATTGTGCTACCATTGCACAAATTCTCCTCTTTAATATAGAGGAATAAAGCAGACCCTTGCATTGCTTTAGTTGTTTGTCCCCCTCTCCAACCCTATTCCTGCTCCCCAATGTGTCTCTTTGCATTTCCCTATGTTCATTGATGCCCAGCTGCCCTATCTATTATTTATTCTTAGAAATAACTTTCTAATTACAAGACATGTTCTGCAATTTTGATACGAATTTATACAAATTGAGAAAATCAAATGTGCTGAATTTAAAAGGCAACTTATTAAACCTATTAATGCTACAACAACAGGATTGACAATAGGAGTGTCAAACTGGCGGCCCATGGGCTGGATGTGTGACGTGCAGGCCACGCCCACCCCAGCTCCGTGAATGGGAAAAACATCACGAAATGTCACGTGACGGCAATATGGCGCCATGAGTTTGACACCTGTGCAATAGAGAATATTTGTAGCTCAGGGTTGAACTGTGGGGTCCTTGCTGCTCTCTGAGCTTGTTTGTTTTTTCTTGCAGAATTTCATTACCAAATTAGGTAACATCATTAGTGCTGGCAGGCAGTGGGTTTGCTCTCTTTTTATATACTGTGGGATTTATCGAAGGAAGCTTTATGGGAAAGTGTTAGCCTATTTAAAACCTGAGTCATCGCAATGTACAGTTTCTGTTAATATAGTTTCTTACAGAGTCCATTACACAAAGAACATGTTTCTATGGATTTGTTTTTATTAGCTTTCCAATCCTGCAATTCAGCTGAAAAGGCTCCCAGTGCATCTCAGGTAGCAATTTAAGGGAAAAAAAAAAAGAGTTGTGTTCCTTGGACTGACAAATAAAAAAAAAAAAAAAGAAGGCTACAAAGGGGAAAAAAAAGAGAGGCAAGGATGAGAAAGGATATGTGTAGGGTATTAAGTCTTAATTTAAAGATGTGAAACCTGAGGATCATATGTGGTCATCACGGCCTCTCTTCGTGGGCCTAGGATACCCCTTTTGCTAGTTTCTTACCCCTTGAAAGAGGCATATCTCTGGATTTTTTTTTAAAAAAATCTCATCCTATATTGCTATGTTTTTGACGCATGAGCGAATTGCTGTGTTTTGTGATGGCGCGTGCTCACATTCTGGTACGAACCGGTGGTAAAGTTATGGGAAACCCACCTCTGAATGATATGGTCCCATGCATTCATGGACCTTTGTTAAACTTTTGGTCACCGAAAGATTATGGTTATGATTATGTGAAGTTTCCAAAAGATGCCTTAATTAATTCATGAGCCACGAGCCAAACTTCAAAAGAAATATAGTCATTTATTAGGAGCACCATTTCGGCAATATTCGGATGCAGTTAGAACTAATCCCATGTAGATTTACGTTCCCCTATGACCCTGTCTCTCCCCTCCTCCCTGGCCATGTCATAAATCACATTCTCCAATTAACTACTTTGGCTGGCTGTGAAACCCAAAACTCTCTTACCGATTGTGGTAAAAAAGCATCTGTGGAATGCAGTTTCAGTTAGGGAAATCAATCAGCTCCATCAGTTCTCCCTTCCTCCTGCTCATGGCAACTTGAAAGCTTTGCAAGTTGACAATCCCCCTAATTTGAACTGATGTTATGTTATGTTATGTTATGTTATGTTATGTTATGTTATGTTATGTTATGTTATGTTTATTGGACTTCTATACCGCCCTTCTCCCGAAGGACTCAGGGCGGTGTACAGCCATATTAAAACATATATAGATTTACAAAATTTAAAAACAATTTAAAATCGAATATATAAAAATTTGGCCCATACATTAAAAACTAACATACACCCATTATAAAATTCATATTAGGCCAGCCCAGCTTGTTGGAACAGAAGGGTCTTCAGGGCGCGGCGAAAGGTACGCAGGTCGGGGATCATACGAACCTCTAGGGGCAGCTCATTCCAGAGGGCTGGTGCCCCCACAGAGAAGGCTCTCCCCCTGGGTGTCGCCAGTCAGCATTGTTTGGCCAACGGCACCCTGAGGAGCCCCTCTCTGTGGGAGCGTATTGGCCGGTGGGAGGCTATCGGTGGCAGAAGGCGGTCCCGTATATACTCTGGTTCTAAGCCAAACTGATAAAGGCTAGTCTCTCCCTCAATCCAGTGAAAGTGCTTGAGGAAAATAGTAGCTACCTTCTCAGGAGATGGGAGAAAGCTGATTTTCCCAGAATATTACTTAGTTATCAGCATTCCTTAAATTGCCCTTGGGCTTCCAATTTCCCACTGTCAAGATAACAGACCGTGTGAAAGGCTTTTTGATTTTTTTGGGTAGAAAAAAGCAACCCGGCACTGGATCAAAAGAAATGTATCATGCTTCATCATGGTGCTCCTTAATACAACAAGATGCTAGATAGATGAATTAGATGAATGTGGTGATTTACGCTTACGGTCCATGGTTTGATTGTTCATTTAACAGGATTCCTGCTATGATCTCTACAAAGCACCAGATGTTCCCTAAAATGGCTCAAAAATTAACAGAAGAGGAAGAGGACTACCATGACAATTCTTCTCTATTACCTGACTCAGGTGGCACTTTAATACATGCACACATACATGAACACATTGTTTCCTTCTAAACTACTGTATTTTTCAGACTATAAGACGCACCTAAATTTATAGGAGGAAAACAAGAAAAATAGTTTTTGGCCTCTGTGCGTTGGATTTTCACCCTCCCCGGCCCCCAGAAGCACTTTGCAGTGCTCCACATGGCCCGTTTTCGGAAAAAACGGGCCCGTTTTTGGGCTCCCAAGCCCTTTGTGCGTCATGTTTTGTCCTCCCAGGCCCCCAGAAGCACTCTGCAATGTTCCGCAAGGCCCGTTTTCGTGAAGTCAGGGACTACCTGTATTATGAGGATTTTAGAGCAAACTTTCTGAAGTCATAGTTTTGTTTAATTTTATAGCATCTCACAAAAAATATGTAAACAAATGACTGCTGATCGTTTTTCCTTCACAGGTCCACGTGTATTTAAAATATTGCCCAAATGGGTTTCAAAGGCTTCCTACTACTTTGACAAAGAACATTATTTTTATGCTGACCATAAGATCGTCATTCAAGAATCCATTGAATGCTTTGGAGCTGTAGTGTGGCCTGCTGTAAGTTTGGCACAGAAAAACAAACAAACCAACACTCCTTTAACCAGTGGTGGGATTCAGCCAGTTTGCACCACTTCGGGAAAACCGGTTGTTTACTTTCTGAGCAGTTGGGCAAACTGGTAGTTGGAAGAAATCATTAGGGCAGAGAACCGGTTGTTAAATTACTTGAATTCCACCACTACCTTTAACTAATAAACAACTTAAGTTTGGAAATATTCACTATTGCTTATGCCTTTTATTTTGGTCAGTGTTGCCATCTCGAGCAGTATTAATGGTGGTAGTGGGAGCAGTGGCAACATTCATAATGACATAACCTATGACTATTATCATGATGACTAGATTGACTAACATGGATTGCATGGTGCTGTACTCTTTATTTTATTTTATTTATTTTATTTATTGGAATTTGTCAAACCAAAACGAGAACAAGAATAAGAGAATAAAAATACAATGACAGGGACAATAAGCACGTTAGTGCACTTATGCACGCCCCCTCTACTGACTACTTAAGTATGAAGTAAGGTCCACGGAGGTCAATTTGTGACTGAAACTGTGAAAATTTGTAGCTGAGACAACTGAATCAGGCAGGTTGTTCCAGACTTTGACATTCTATTACAGAAATCATATTTTTTACAGTCAAGTTTAGAACGATTTACATTGAGTTTAAAGTGGTTGTTCACATGTATATTATTGTGATTAAAACAGAAAAAGTCATTTACAGGTAAAACATTATTATGTATAATTTTGTATGTAATACCTAGGTCTGACTGCAAGCAATGCAGTTCTAAGTTATTCAAAGCGAGAATTTCGAGCCTAGTAGCTCTTGTCCCATGTTGATGAGGCATAGACTCAAAATCATGTGAAGGATTAGCACCACTTTATAAATCCTTAGTTAAGATCACACCTGAAATTTTGCATCCAGTTTTGCTCACCATATTACAAAAAAGATGTTGAGACTTTGAAGAAAGTGCAGAGAAGAGCAACTAAGATGATTAAAGGCTTGGAGACAAAAACATATGAAGAATGTCTGCAGGAATTGGTTGTGGCCAGTCTAGAGAAAAGAAGGACTAGGGGTGACATGATAGCAGTATTCCAGTATTTGAGGGGCTGCCACAAAGAAGAGGGGTGTCAATTCATTTCTCGAAGCACCAGAAGGCAAGACAAGAAACAATAGATGGAAATTAATCAAGGATAGAAGCAACCTAGAATTAAGGAGAAGCTTCCTAACAGTGAGAACAATTAACCAGTGGAACGGCTTACCTTCAGAACTTTTAGGTCCTTCATCATTCGAGGTTTTATTAAAAAACTGGACAGCCACCTGTCTGAAATGGAACAGTTTCCTGCTTGAGCAGGCAATTGGACTAAAAGACCTCCAAGATCTCTTCCAGCTCTATTCTGATTGAAATATTGATCGATCTCCAATTGAATAAAATGCATGAATTAAGGACAGATGCCACTAAACTGGCTATATACAGACAGTCATCGAGTTACGAGTGCAATGGAACTTTCCCATTCCATTTGTAACCTGAAGATTCGTGGCAATGAATCTCGTTATCTTGAACGGAATCACTCCCTTTCGCCCACACATTCAGCAATCGAATGCGAGGCTTGTTAAGTGCATGAGGTATTTCAGGATGGGGAAAGCCATGGGGGGGGGGGGCGGGCTAGTGATGGAACAGGCCACCTGCCTAAGACCACCCAAGGCCTCCCCAATCCACCGAAGTACCTCATGTTCCCCACAATTCCTCCCCCCCCTAACCTGCTGCGCCAGGTCACTTACCTTGTGAAGATCTAGCAAACAGTCTCCTCTCCAACCTATCAGCTGCATATGCCCCTCCAACACTCCATTCAGGCCTCCAAAGGCCTTGCTTGGCACGTTACCGGCCAAAATGGAGCTCCTGAGGGGCAGATCCGTCCCTCAGAAGCTCCATTTTGGCTGACAACATGCAGGACGTATGTTGCAGAGCCTCTGCGGTTGTTCATAAGGGCGAACAACAGGTTCGCCCTTACGAACCAGTTGGTGCTGCAAGATATGTAGTTTTGGGACTTGTTCATAAACGCTAGGAGGTGCTTATCATATAACTTCGAATGTTTGCTAGGGGAATGCTTGTAACCCAGGGATTACCTACAATAGCTTGTAGGTAACACTAAGTAGTGTTCACTGGAAATATCAGTTGCTGTACATTATCCCTAGATCAAAGAAGTGTTGCTAAGTTAGGTAAAATGAGGACCCGGTTTGTGGGGGCAATAAGCTGACTTTGTGTAAAAAAGAACACCGCTTAGGGCCCCCCCGAAAGCCCTACTAAGCAGGTATATACAAAAGTATGAAGGCTATTGCTTAACGCATTGTAAGCCGCCCTGAGTCTCCGGAAAAGGGCGGCATATAAATCGAACCAATAAAAATAAATAAATAAATAAATAAATAAATAAATAAATAAATAAATAAATGCAGTTAAACAGGATTATGTTGCCATTAAGTAACTGGTTTAACATATTTTGGACATGCCCAATGTTATAAGCATTTCCTGTATGTGGGTGAGTGTGAATATGAATAATTTAAACACATGGCTTCTCTTACTCTCCACTATTTAATCTTGATGTACTCAACAAGAGTTCCTGCTTCTCTAATTAGTTTGCTCTATTTAAGGTATGTTTTGGACAGGGCAAAAAATATAAAACAAGCAACAAAGGTGTGAGCTAAATTCTGGTAGGGGAAAAAAAGGTTTTGATACTGAATAAATTTCCTAAATTACTGGCTTTGCTTCTAGAAATTCTGTTTTTAATGTAAATTGCCAAAAGCAGATTTTTTTTTTTTTAAAAAAAGTGTGCAACCCTCTTTGTGTTAAGTTGAACAATGTGATTTAAGGAGCTGCTCTCGTAGTTGCAAACATTATTGATTGCCTCAGAATTTATTCTAAGACACTTTTTATGTATTGGAAGCTCCATCTTCTCTGTAACTTTGGACATTTATTATTTGGATTATTTTAATTTGTGAACAGTAGGGGCAGTATGCAAATTTTTAAAATAAAAAAAGGAAAGGGAAAAAATATCCAATAGACATTTACTTGATATTATTAAAACAGAAACGGAGTTCTATTAAAGGAGCATAGTGATCAAACCAATATTTGCTGTTTGCTTCTGATATGATATACTGCTAGAAATCATTTATTAGGAATTAAGCTTTGTTATTGGCTTCTGCTTATATTATTGTATACTGTCAGAAATTAGTTGTTAGGAACTAATTCTAGTTTAGTAAATTGTAACCTTAATACTGGTTGGCATTAGTACGAAGTTTGTTATCTTGCTTCTCTGTCTGGCTGCTATTCTTGGCTTCAAAGCTAGGCACATCCTTGAAAATATAGAAGAAACTATTACCCAGGAATATCAGGCCCCATAGATAAAGGAACCAGAATAGGGAGTTTTCCTGCCTCTTAAATTCTGAATCCTGAAAGCATTCTGCTGAATACACAAGGCTATAGGAATGCTCCATAAATAAGGTGGACAGAGACAGGGGCCTGAACAAAGAACGCTTTAATTTGTCTCTGATTGGGTAAAGTTTGTTTCTAACGGCACAACATAAAATGTATATAATACTCTGAGCCACTCTTGCAGGAGTGTGGCTATTCCTTACCTGCATTTTGTTTGTATGTTTTGGATATAGTTTTGTCACCCAGCTTTTGCTTTGGCCATAAATAAAAGCTGATATTTTTTGCAAGCCTCGTTTGGAGTCTCACTCTTTGGCATCTCAGTGGCTCGGGGAAACTTCTGGGACCTTACACTATCATGCTTCATGTTTCTGACATGAATTATCTTGAACCGGTCACTCTTTCCTGAATGATCCTGCCTTTTCCTGAATCAGCCTTCTTGTCCAAGACAGGAAGTCTTCGTTGTCATTATCCATCAAAATTATCTGAAGACTCACTCCAAGTGTAGCACTAACACAGTTAAAAACATTAATATAGATTTATGTTAGTAAAATCAGTAGTGAAAGAGGCACAAAAAAGAAAAAAGAAAAAGAGCCAGATCAATTCTGCTAACACAGTGATGGCTAACCTTTTCTGGACCAAGTGCCCAAAGCACTAGTGCACTCGAACTCCCAAAATGCAATGCGCACGTGGTCCCTGCGCATGCCCCCCACATACATGTATGGCCCCCTGCATGGGCCCCGCCCCTACGCATGCATGGCAGAGACCTGGAGACCAGCTGGCTGGTGGGAGGCACATGCGCATGTGTGGCAGAGCTAAGGTGGGGCGATGGCTTGTGTGCCCACAGAAAGGGCGCTGTGTGCCACCACTGGGATGCGTGCCATAGGTTTGCCATCACTGTGCTAACACATTAAGTGTACATTTACCGAAAGTTCAATGTTTCTTTTGCGATCTGATTAGATTCAATCCCCTTCCCTTCCCATTCCAGTTGAAAAAGCTTCTATAGTGTTAATTTCTGGCTTTGGTTCTGTCTCAGGAGGATGTCAGTGTATGGCATCTTAAGGCTCTTTCAAGGTGAGCATGGTTAGGAAGCTTAGCAACTATGAGCAACAATCTTGCCTTGCTCCTTCATTTGTATTCTGACCTATTTCCAAACACAAAAGGAAAAAAAATGTATTTATATATACACAAATAACTTTGAAATGATCAAGTGATTTTTTTCCTCTTTTAGGCCCTTGCTTTATGTCAGTACCTGGAATCAAATCAAGAGGAAATTGACTTCAAAGAAAAGAAAGTCCTTGAAGTTGGAGCTGGGACAGGTCTAGTGTCTATTGTGGCAAGTATATTAGGTAATTTGTACACTGATTTTTCGGACTGTAAGATACCATAGGGTCGTGATGGTGAACCTATGGCACGTGTGCCACAGAGCCCTCTCTGTGGGCAGGCCAGCCATCGCCCCAGACCAGGTCCACCGCGCATGCGTGCATGCCTCCCGATGGCCAGCTGGTCTTTGGGTCTCTCCTGTGCATGCGAGGTGAGTGGGGCACTTGGGGGGTGCGCACGCACATGCATGGGGGGTGTAGGGCACATGCATGTGAGGGGGTACAGGTTGGTGCAGGAGGCTTTCCAGGCCCAAAACGGGTCACGGGGGGCCTCATGTGGCCCCCCTGTGACCCGTTTTGGCTTCCAGGTTGGTGCAGGAGGCTTTCCAGGCCCAAAACAGGGCCTGTTTTAGGCCTGGAAAGCCTGCACCAACCTGGAAGCCAAAGTGGGCCGCAGGGGTGGGGTGCATGCACGAGGGATGCACACGGATGCACGGGGGCGGGCTGCAATGTACGGAGGGGCGCTCGCATTGCATTTTGGGGTTTCTGGCACGTGTACATGCATTTGCACGCTTTGGGCACTCGGCACCGAAAAGGTTAACCGTCACTGCCATAGGGATTCGTTTCACAGCAACAGTCATAAATATGAACCACTTGTCAACCATCTGAATTTTGATCACATGATCATAGGGATACTGGAAAGGTCGTAACTGTGAATAAAAAAGGTCGTAAGCCACTTTTTTCAGTGCCATTGTAACTTGTAACGGTCACTCAATGAACTGTTGTAAGTTGAGTTGTAAACCGTGGTTTAGCACGATGCAATTCCAGTCCATTGTATGATTTGCTGGTGCAGACAACTTAAGTACATTGATGACTGAATTATTATTAGGACGTACCTCCCTTTCCCCAATTGACATTTTATCAAGGCAGGTTATGGACTGAACAATGTTATTTTTTTTAATCTTTCAGGAGCTTTTGTCACAGCTACTGACTTGCCTGAGGTACTTGAAAACTTGGAGTTCAATATTACTAGGAATACACAGAATCTAGACATTCACAAGCCTGAAGTGAGGAAGCTCATTTGGGGCACGAATCTCCATGAAGACTTTCCCAAAGCAACCCACCATTATGATTTCATTGTGGCTACTGATGTTGTCTATCATCACACTGCTCTAGATTCTCTGCTGGATACACTTTACTATTTATGCCAGACTGGGACAACGTTGCTTTGGGCAAATAAATTTAGATTCAGCACAGATTATGAATTTTTGGACTCAATGAGCAACATATTCAATATGACCCAGCTAGCGGAATTTCCCGAGTCAAGTATCAAGTTGTTTAAGGGCACCATCAAAGAGAATTAAAATGAGGAGGCAGAATCCAGACTGAAGTGCAAAAGCAGAGATCTTATCAGAAGAGTCTGATTCTTAAACTTTCAAGACTTAACCCTTTCAATTAGGTACTTATTTGAAGCTTTTCTCAAAGACAAGTTGTTTCAACAAAAGAATAGATAATAGGAAGCCTGGACCTCTTGGTTACGTTTCCCCCTTAGCTATGCCCATGTCCGGCATCTGACACATTCTGGCATTCCTTCAGCAGTCCCTGACCTTTTTGATTTCGTGGAAGCCAACTTTTCCACGGACCGGGGGATTAGTGCAGGGGTGCTATTCAGTAGGTTCTAGAGAACTGGTAGAACTGGAAGATACCATCTCTGGCTGGCCCCAGAGTGGGGTGGGAATGGAGATTTTGCAATATCCTTCCCTCAGGAGTGGGGAGGGAATGGGAATTTTGCAGTATCCTTCCCCTGCTACGCCCACCAAGCCACACCCACAGAACCAGTAGTAAAAAAAAGTTGAATTTCACCACTGGATTAGTGGTGGGGATTTCGGTTTTGCTTGCTCACCCACCGCTCACCTTCAGCTGTGCGGCCTGGTTCCTATCAGAGCATAGACCGGTACAGGTCCATGGTCCAGAAGTTGTAGACCCCTGGTTTAATAAATATTTATAAATGAAGGCTTGAAACTCTATGTATCTAATCACATTGTTGGATTAGAAACAGAAAGGAGAGGAGGTTCACTTTGATCCTACAATATGTCCTCATAAACCAAGATTCCCAAGATAAATTGCCATTAGTACACCATGAAAAATAGGAGTTTGTACTTTTTCTGATTAGAATACAAGAAAATGTGAGTGTATAGTCCTCTAACAGATCCACATTGCTGAAAAATTAAAACAGATTTCAAATTTCTTCGATATTTTATTTTTTAAAAAATTAAACCATGAGTACTCAAACCTTTGATATTTAAATCTGCACATTTATTCTGCAGTTTTATGTTTTTCAAACATTATTAACATGTATGTATAAGTTTTACAATACCTGATTAAGTGTTAACTGACACTTTATACACGTATCGGTTTTTGCCAATACTCTGCATCATGTGGATATTTGTGAGCATCTCCAAATTGAAGATATCCAAGAGCACCTTTGCATCAGTAATTCAGAACACATTGTTAGTAAGTGTGGAAGTTATTCTTTTAAAAAATAAAATAAAATGTAAACTCTTGCAAATGATACTGGTAATTAAGTTCTGTTATTATTAAATCTAATAAATAAGTTTTAAGCTACTTTTGTTGTAGCTTCATTTAAGGCCTTCATACAATTGAAAGTTTATGTTTAAACATGTTAAAATCCTGTTCATTGTAAAAATAACAGTTTGTATAGCCTTATGATTAAAATTACAAATAGTTAAGATCCACATACACATGCAAGAAGCTATTTCACTTTCATTTTCTAAACTTTGGTGCTGGCTCTTCTCAAACATCCATTGCCAGCAATGTGATGTATGCAACAAGTTTTGTGTTTAAATTTTCACTTCTGAAGCAAATGAACTACTCAAGGAACTAAGAATTCAGTTTAAATAGACTTCCTCATGTCTGGACCCAAACTACACAAATATACTGCAGTCCCTTATCCTCTGATTAATACATACAAGTGAAGCATTCAGTAATAGATGAAAACATGCAATCCAGTAAGTTCACAGATTTTATATTTAGTCAATATAAGAACATCTTGAATTCACAACTGCAGTATTTTAAAACACACAATAATCAGGTGGGAACATCACAGGAAGCCAGTTTTCACTAAAAGATGCACAGTGAGTCCATCCAAGTAGCCTCATTAGCTAAAAGGTTAAGAACAAAAAAACAAAAAACAAAATTTATATATAAGTAAATTTTGTATTAAGCCAAAGTCATGAAAATGAAATTTAATGTATTTAGCTACTAAAATTAGAATGCAATATATATTAAACTTTCACTTAGTCAATGATATTTCTAGAAAATTTGTTCTCGTGTTTACAAATTTTATTAGTTTACTAAAATACAAAGAAAAATGAAAATAATAGGAAAGTAGGGAAAAGGGAAGAGGAAAAAGTGTAAAGTAAAAGGAGAAAGAAAAAGAAAAGCACTGACTTCTGACAGGTTTTAGTGCAGTAGAATAAGATAATAACCTCAACTTTTTACTTTTACATAATCATATATACTAGTAGTCATTGCTATAACAACAAACTATCTAATCAGCAAAATCCCAAATCACTGTTTCATTTTTTTTCCCACCTCAAGCACAAAGTCCAGAAGTGGTTTCCAAGTAAAAATGTTATTTGTATTTTTTTCTTTAATTAAAAGCAATCAATTTAGCCATCTCTGCTAACTTCATTAGCTTTTGCAGCCAGTCATCCCTTGTGGGAATTAAAGTTCCATTTTTGTGCATAGTTAGAGTGTTCTTGCTGATGTCAGCATATATAACATCAAAATTCCATTTTTTCCAAGATTTTATCCATTAGGCCTAGAAAATTTGTCCTAATTGGATTTTATAATTCTTGAATGTTACTGAAACTTGTATACTGATTGAACCGAACTGAATATGCAATAACAACAACTTACCTGTATACAGTTCTTCAAGTTTTCTTTCGTGGGCTTCTCCTCTGCAAGTTTATTTGCAAATTTGAGACTTCTGCCATACATTTTGTTCACCAGTGCATGCTTGTAAGCAAAGAGCAAAACCTATAGAAGAGCATTAAAAAAAAATGGAGGCAGAGATTTGTAAGCAGAATTTAAGTTCTGCAAAGATTAATCATCCAAATTCACTTTTGGATTTGACAGTAGGCAAGTCAGAACTAGAATAAAAATCACCTTCAGGTACAGGCAGTCCTCAACTTACGACCACAATTGAGCCCAAAATTTCTGTGACTAAGTGAGACATTTGTGAAATGGGTTTTGCCCCATTTTATCACCTTGCTGCCACAGTTGTTAAGTGAATCACTGCAGTTGTTAAGGTAGTAACATGGGCAGGTTAGGGTGAATCTGGCTTCCCCATTGACTTTGCTTGTCAGAAGGTCGCAAGGGGTGTGTGTCGCATGACCCCATGACACTGCAACCGTCATTAATATGAGTTGATTGCTAAGCATCTGAATTTTGATCATGTGACCGTGGGGATGCTGCAATGGTCATAAGTGTGAAAAACAGTTACAAGTCACTTTTTTCAGTACCATTGTAACTTTGAATGGTCACTAAATGAACTGTTATAAATCGAGGACTACCTGTATTTGATGAATAAGGGCCTGGTGGCTCAGCAGACTAAAAGCATTGTGATTTACACCAGCTGTCTGCAATTACTGTAAGTTCGAATCTCACCAGGCTCAAGGTTGACTCAGCCTTCCATCCTTTCTAAGGTAGGTTAAATGAGGACCCAGTTTGTGGGGGCAATAAGCTGACTTTGTATAAATATACAAAAGTATGAAGGCTATTGCTTAATGCATTGTAAGCCGCCCTGAGTCTCCCTAGAAGGGCAGCATATAAATCAAATTATAAAAAAAAACCTTCTCAAGTTCAGTTGACTACAATGAAGTGTTGTTTGAGTTATTCCCAGCTGTATAAATTCTAAACAGTTTATATTAAGGTTATTTTAGGACTTATTTAAATATATTTTAAAGAATGAGGCATTCATTTACATGATGCTATTAACGTTCAGAGCACCATATAAAGCAGGACGTAGTGATAGCTTTCCAGTTAAATGTTTACATTTAGCTGCAGCAGAATTAGATTACAATAGACTACAGCTGGAGGTTAATTTATTTATAATCAAATTTGTAGAACTGTCCATCTCATGAGAACGTATAAGATTACAAGGGCAATATGCCAAAGAAAAATGGTACAAAGCCACTGCCATTATGTCTTTATAGGAGTTCTGCGCTACTGAATGCATTATGCTAGAAAAGATTTGAATTACTATTTTGACAGCAGTTCTTATGTGCAAGTTTTTTTTATACAATTTAAATATAAAACACTGGTCTCCACCTAAACTGATAATAGGTATCATAACCTAAAGATTTCTTATGAACAAATAGTTCTATTCCTCCCAACATACCTTGCTGTCAAACAGGTCAGTCCATTTTGATGTTTCCCAGAAAGTCTCTGTCAGAGTATTCAAGATGGCTTTTTGGTTATCATCTTTACATTCAGTTTCACTTGATGCAGCCCCTTCCTCGGCTTGTAACTGCAGAAGTTGATCTGATAATGCACATCCTTTCCGACATAGAGCATCCACTAAGGTAGATTTCTGCTTTTCCATCTCACTATGTGGGAACAATACATATTTCATTTACGTGAACAGGTCTCTTTCATCATGCCTATATATGCATTTTTCATAAAACTCCTGAATACCACCACCACCATACAAAATACACCTGCATCCCTTCTAAGTATGTAACATTTAAGAGAAGGTAACATTTCTAAACTGGAGTAAAGAGACTAGTTCCAAAATACGTATTTTTAACTAGGAATCTTCATCAAACAAACAGCAGTTCTACCATCTTCAAAGGAAGAGCACTAACATTTCTTTATCCATTCATTTACTTATTTGATTTACAAATTCAATTTTGGGTAGCTAGAAACATAGAGAAACAAGAGTAAAAGTCTATGGTGGTTGCCGAGGGTAAAACCAGATAAAACAATTAAGAAAAAGTTCTCAATCTTATTTTCAACCTTCTGAAGGAAGGGTTTTCCAATTTGCTTTTAAAAATACTTGCTTTATGATTTTACAGCTTACCATTTGTTTTCCCTTTAATTTTTTTTAAAATACTGTTTTTTTTTACTTGCCATAATCTAATACAAATGTGTAATAACATACAAAGATTTGGGAAGAATGGTTGGCTGGCTGATGATCTTTGAACATCTATTGCTGCGATATTCTAGTCTTCAATCTTTCCTCCTTAGCAATATCAAATCAACACTAAAAATACTGTTTTAAAGCATAAAATGCAATTAAGTGTGCTCGGTTCATGACTAGTTTTTTTCTCATGAATATGAAAACATTTTAATTTTTAAGCTTAGAAGAGCAGATAACTGCTGAAATAAGATGCAAGGAAAAAAAGTATTTACTGGCTAGGTACTTTTTTATAGTAGCAGCATCAGGCCTGGGATCAGTCTTCATAGCAAGATAAATAGCAAGGGCTGTTTGATCGATATGAGACATCACTGTATTAGAAGCTTCAATTATTTCATTTAAACATTTCATTCGCTCCTGGAAGAAAATAAATGATATTCTCTTATTAAATTATTCTCTTATTTTCTTTTATTGTTGTAAGTTGCCTAGAATAGCCCCATGGCAAAATAGGCAGCAAATAAATTTAATAAATAAATATGTATGAATTAATACAATACTATGAATATTCAGTTGATAGGAGAGAAGGGAAGTTAGTTTGATCCAAAGCAGAAAACATACTTTGAAAATAAAGTGGTGCATTTATTGTAATTGTCAGTTCATCATATAGCTTTATATCTATGCAGAAAGATAGGCATAAAAACAAGAATTAAGAACCATTTGTCTATTTGGGGCTTAGAGATGGCTCAGTGGATTTAAAATGAAAGATCTTTTTAAAAAGAAAATGGGTCGCACCTTTTCAGAATCCAATTGATGAAGTCTTGCAACATATAAGGGGAGATGGTTAGGGAAGGTCTCTTTCAGTTCATTGTATATCTCACTGGTATCAAACCTAAAAGTAAATGTATTAATGAAAATTTGCATCAACGCATCAGTTCTTCAAGGGTATGATATGGCAACAGAAATGTTAAACATACTTTGTCATCCACTGTATCTTTAAATCTCTTAAAGCTTCTGCAAATTCATTATTTACATCTTTTTCTGAATCCTTCTCTTTATCCTTGCTTCCATTCTTACTTTTTATTGGAGATGGGATCAAATGATAGTGAACTGAGATTATATCCTAGAGTAAAAAGCATAGCAATTTGGTCAAAGTAAGTATTAATATTTTCTTTCTCACAAAACATACATTATAAAAACTAAGAAAAAATGTATACAATCATTCAGAACCTTTTGAAGCCTCAGAGGACTAGAACAGATTTAGTCCAAAGAATAGTTCAAATTATCTCTCACAAATTTCAAATTTTGATTAATAATCGTTCCAAAAATATTTCACATGAGTTGCACCTCAGCAAACTGATTAGCCTCCACAAGTTTAATATCACATAACCTATATCTTCTTTTGTGGAAAA